AATCCTATAATATATATATATATATATATATATATATATATATATATATAATATAGTTACTTTTTCGTTATTTATCGCAGTTTTGCGGTGCTTCCAATAAACACTCGCTTTGTTTTGCAATCATCGTTTGACAGTAAATCGTTGGGAACGTCTCGTGGGACAAGGTTCCGTGATAGACTGGCAGAAAACATTTCCCACAGGGGGTATCAGATAAAACTGTGAAATCCAAAGGTCCACTTATGTGTTTTATAATTAACAGAGTCTGTCGGAATAAGGAATTCTGGTCACAGTTCCCAGTAAAATATCTTTCATTAGTCTATGGTTTCAAATCTTGCGGCACCCTGTAGGGTCAATCAGTCATTTTCCCTCTTCACTCACTCTGTGATGCTGCAGGTTGGCGCAGTGTATCTCGAACTAAAAATTTAGCATGGTTCAAATAGGCCCAGAGAAATACTAACTTGAAATTTCGACTTACAGTAACTGCATTCGGATGAGGGATGGATAGTACAATGGATTCTTTGATCTGACTGTGTTTGTGGCTATCTCTTTACCAATCACACCCCTGATGTGATAAATGACCGATGAGGTGAATTCTTTAGTTACGGAAATCTACTGCTTACGCAGATCGCGAATCTCATTAGCCTCTGTATTTGTATTTGTATAACTTGTGTAAGCATATATGCTTAAATTTCAGTTAAAAATGTACACTGTATCTACACTGAATGGAAAGATAGAGTAATGAGTTGGACAACAGAAATGCTGTCTACCAGTCAAAGCTTGCATCGAATTCACTACTGTTCTGACGTCCGACTCAGTACCACGCCTATCCTAACGGAACTTCATGCGATTCATCACTTCAAGTTGCAGGGTATGGATTGTCGGTTTACATGATCATGGGATTCCCCCTTTCTGCTATTTGTCACGCAATAGTATGTGATAAAACAACACCAGCCCTTCCTTTGTTCCATAGGAAACTGCTTTTGCGATATGGCCGTACCTGAATGAGCTGTAAGCAACTGTATGCTCTTTGTCCTAACGCCCGAGCTTAGTTTAGAGGTTATATTTTTAACCTTGCCGAATTGTATCCTTTTATATATGCACGTTTGTTGTCGTTAAAAAATCTATCTGTTTATGCTTATCACTCGAACCGTATACAAAATAGATGAGAATTTTCGGGAAATATTGAGTGGATAAGATACAGTTCATCGCCCTCACATAGGATTATTCATTCATTACTCCTGAATACCCTTTTCTTGTTCCAGACTATCCTCCACAAACCACTGTTGAAATCGAGGGTGATGCAGAATTAGCTAAAGCAGTCAATCAGGCTGCCGCGGTGGCGATGGCAATCATACCCGGAACCGGTCCATCCCCGGATGCGGATGATTCGGATGTAGAAGATAGGTTGGAGGAAAAAAAGCGGGTACGTTTCTCTCTCGCTCTCTGCTCACATTCCGGTATCCACGATCGATGCCAATTCGATCACATTGCATTTTCGTACTAAATATTTACATTGCATATTATTTCTGGTCCGTCCTTATTCATCCAAGTTACGGCCCGACTTCACTTCATGGAACCGTGAACAGAGGTGCTACAAAACCACTAAGGCATATGATTTTAACTTACAAAGTGTCTTATGTTCTTATCGTACTGAGTGTTTTCTCCCCGGATCCAAAGTCAATCTGGGGAAAGCTGTACAATCAAGAATTTCGATGACCCCGTACGACCTGTGGTCACTTGTTTGGTATGTCCTAACTGGATGCCTAATACGTAGCAAACCTACAGGTACTTGAATTACTGATTCCAGTTCATATAACCCACCGAAAGGACAAAGACTACCTGAAGTTCTTAAAAACCTGTTCATTTTACTGTAGACAAAAGGTTTGCAGACAGAAATAACTGTCGAACGAAGGCTACCAATAAATGGATGTAGTTTTCTGCAGTTTTTCCTGCGGTCAAGGAGGCATACAAAAATTCCCCCATGAAATGTCTCTTAAAATGTCTTATGAGAGAATCACCAGCTCCATTGGGTTTCCGCTTGTTTTGGACACACTGGACGCGTGTTCGACATTGTAAGAGCCGTACGACCCGTCTAACCGCTCCCTCCCCCCTCCAGTATTTACTGCCCTACTGCTAGCTGGTGAAATCGCAAGAAGGTCATCTGATTTGGCTTGGAAAGTCTGGAATTACTGCTTCTACTCAATTTCCACAATCAGTTT